TATATATATATATATATATATATATATATATATACATATATAGGACTTCTGCTAACTGCTTTAGGGCTGATATTTCATGTGTTTACATGCAATGAGCAAATGTGAAGTTGTTTTTATCATGGGGAGCCATGCAGATGTTCTTTTACAGATGTTACTCTGACAAACTATTACAGTCCGAATAGTGCTTATGATGTAGTTGGAGACATCCACTGTCTAAGTTTGACTTTCAGCCAGTACTGGATTTGGAGAAGAGAGACTGTTACAAATTGTTTATGTTGTATGATGACCGGTTTATCAACATCCGTATGTGTTTGAAAGAGAGGGAGAGAGAATCCCTGGGCCCTGAATGCCAGTATGAGTGTTTACTCTAGACATTGTGCAGGATTTTCTAGAGTGGTTTAACAGCAGAAGGATGGTCAAGGCAGAGCAGTGTGGATGTACAGGGTGTAAATCAGGTCAGACAGGGTTAAGCCAGGCTAGATTACTCGCTGTCTTTAGCTGAGACCTTTCAGATTGCCTTACACACACATAAACGCATAGGAACACAGACATGCGGGCAGATAACTCCTATATAGATGGATTTTTACAAGCGAACAAGAAACCGTCTTCTGTCTGTAAATATTAGTACTTATATGAAGTATTTTTTTATTAAATATTTGTATAAGTTATTCATTGAAAATTTTGAGTGTTTATAAGAGAAATAATAATGTTAGATTTGTTAACGAATCATTTTTTTGAGCTTGATCTTTTCAATAAATCAGTTAGCAAAACCAATCTGAATGATTTGTTCACCAATCTTACATAAAAAAAAGTGCAATTCTTCATTTTTCCCCTTTTGTACCATGGAATAAACTTAAAAAAACACAAATGAGCATAATAATAATACATAAAAGATCTGGCATACAATGCTGAAACATTCAAGTTTACTGTATGTTGTTTACTTATGTGCACTTGTTTATATGTCCTACATTTCTAAATTCGGTGCACCAGCAGGCCCAGACTAAGAGTACCTCAAACTAAGATTATGTGGCATAGTAATACTGCGTGACATACAAACCTCACGAAAAAAAAACTAGTTTTGCTTAGCCTTCTCCATCAAACATTCATGAAGATACACACATGCACACACCAATGCACGCAATGCTCTCAGCTCCACAGATGTAATGTGTGCTATAAGTCTTTTTTATGTGATCGTTCGTATATAGAAAGTGCACGGAATGAGAACAACATGGCTTCTGTCTTTGTGTGGAATGGTTTCTTGTCATTCTTGTGCACTTATAATGCAATTAAAATCAATCCGTAGATTTTGAAAAATGAAAATGTGCTTAATATTGCTTAAATGACTGCACAGAATAAAAATCAATGTTGTCCTGTTAAATGCATGTCAAGATGGATAAACTGATTTTTTTCCATCCGTGTGTTTCCTCAGCCAATCGGAGCGCTGAACCCAAAGCGTGCTGTATTCTACGCCGATCGATATGAATCATGGGATGAGGAAACTCCACCCTGCCACTACACAACCCACTATTCCACTGCAGCCTCCACCCTCCACTGGCTTGTCCGAATCGTAAGTCTTGTTGATTGGATGGATGCAAGGAATTTGATACCTTCAACATCTGGGAAGTACCTAGTTTTACTGGATAGTTAACCGAGCTGAGCTGTTTCTGGCTCTTATTATGGCTTCTATGAATGGTAAATCATATCACGCAAGTCAGTTTTCCACTAGAGGAAGTGTAATTACGTCACCCCTTCATGAATATTCCAATGATTACTATGCAAATACCCCTTTGTATTGAAGATTTGTATTACATGAAATCTTTCATATTTACGTGATACCATGCAAAATCTATGCAAAACTGTAATATTCTTCAAAATGTATCATGGTTGTACTTTGGAAATGATGCTGTCAAGGGTCTGTGTATACATAAAACATTCCAATTCGATATCTCCGAACCCAGTTAGTGGATCAAATCACCGTCAGTCAAAGCACACGTTAGCGCATCCTTTCACCGCGCATGTGAATCAATCCTTACATCTCAATCCGCGAGCTTGATGTTCCGCTACAGAGAGCCGGTGAGTGGATTTCACAGGCTGGTAAACAGGCATATGTGAAAAAGAAGTCAAAAACCTTTGCGTAGTGATTCACTGGCTGGTACGTGACAGCTTTATGCCTCACAGACAGAACGCGGAGTGCTGGGAAACATGTCCATCATTGTCTCCTGCTAACGTCCTCGCTTGCCCTAGGTCTCCAAGTGCTGATCTGGGACGCTTGATGTTCCGCTACAGAGAGCCGGTGAGTGGATTTCACAGGCTGGTAAACAGGCATATGTGAAAAAGAAGTCAAAAACCTTTGCGTAGTGATTCACTGGCTGGTACGTGACAGCTTTATGCCTCACAGACAGAACGCGGAGTGCTGGGAAACATGTCCATCATTGTCTCCTGCTAACGTCCTCGCTTGCCCTAGGTCTCCAAGTGCTGATCTGGGACGAATGGACTGGTAAAAAAAAAAAAAAACACCTGGATTTTTGCAGAGAAAATGAAGTTGTTCCTAAGGTTGAGAGGAAATTGGGTTTGAGTATCTCCTGATGCTTTCAGTTTTTCCACATTTGTTACATCATATGACTATGTTTTACTAGTCTACTGTTGTTTTGTTACATAATAAAATTTTTTCACTGTATAAACATTTTATACCAGAGCTCAAATCAGTCATGCGGAGTGTTTTGATGAGATCTGCATACTTGTTTTTGCATCAGATTTTAAGATGAATGCAGTCTAAACCAAGTGTAGTTTGTTTTCAGAGCAATTTTTGCATGTAATTTGATTGAAAAGGCATTAAAGCTTGTTTTATTAATTTTAAAAGACTGTTGTATAATCACACCTCTTTTAATGAGGAATCTGTCTATCCATCTTGCGAGAAAAAATTAAAACACATAATGAAAACTTAGTAATTGGCTCTTCCGAGGCAGGCCGTTGTGTTGGTGATGATGATTTGGGAGGTTAACCTTGGCAGCTCTCACACCGGGCTTGACTGAGACTGTAGACACCATCATCTTTTCCTCTGGCTGATCCAGCATCTCCATGTCAACTCCTCGTACTGCCAGCCCAGACTGATGACCCTGAATATGCCAATTAGAGCCAGAGCTGAGCTCCTCAGCCAACAGGCCATATAATTAACTCCGCCTCGGGCACTGTTACAGAAAATGAGAGGACAAAAAAAACCTTCCACAAACTCTTCATAATCTGACAGATGAGTCCCTACATTGAGATGTTTGTGCAAACGGAACGTTTCCCAGAGCAATGGAGAAGGACTCCATCACGAGATTGATTCCAATTACCATAGAAATGAATGTAGATGAATTTACTTTTTTATTCTAAAGATGTTTGGGCCACTGAATAGCATTAGCGCTTTGCAAAACGGAGCAGATATGTCTAAACAAGCGCCTAATTAGCAGTCAGAATCATGTGATACCTCTACGGTTATTTTCACACATTAGGAAAGAGAGCTTATTTGGGTCAATAAAAGTGACAGTGTTGTTTTGCGTCTGCTCAATTGCAGGAGCCTTTCACCACATTCTTCCTAAACGCCAACGGCAACAAGTTTGATCACCCAAACCGCACATTCTCCGGCATCGCCCGCTCATGGAGGCACTGTCAGCGTGATACTGCAGATGTGAAGGTAATCAAATATAAGTTTTTGTACATCGTAATATCTAAACAGGCTTAGAAAGTAGTCATTAGTGCCTGACTGTTATGATGATATAGGTGCAACATTACTTGCTGCAACTGTGAGGAACTGAATAAACAGTTCTTCGAAAAATGTGTCTCTTTTCAGTCCAATCAATCAACCAATATTGGTATCATCCAGTTCCCAAAAAACAAATGGTATTGCATTGTTTTGATTTGCAACAACATTTAGTTCCTGGAGCTTCCAAGCTGCATCAACACTGTCCTTTTTCCATTTATATGTGCATTTTTTTGTGAAATCAACATTTTTTTCTTCATACACATTTAAAGTAAAACATCGTTCAACATGCACATATTTCAGAGAGGCATCACTTCATCACCGTAATGGTTGTTCCCCGTTGCCTCCGTTCCATTTCAGCCCCGCACTATGGCTCAGCAAGCGCACTGGAGCTGACCTAAAAGTGTCATACTTTTCCAGCACACTCGGTGATGGGTTAGCTTCGCCCCAGGCAATTAATAAAGCATTAATGACAAAAGCTATTTAAAATTTAGTCTTTTATGTAAAGGCAGGGCTTTTTACTACCCCGGGCTGGGAAACAACATCCAACAACATGAGGTGCAGGCGATATGCACGGCCAGTGAACGGCTGTACAGGGAAACTCTAGATATGTTAGCAAATACAGGCCTCTCGGAACCACTACGGTGTCTGTGTGGAAAATGTTAAACATATTTAATGGTGACCAGTCTGTTAGGGTTTTTTTTTTTTTGTATTTTCTTGTGGAGCAGGAGTTGGTTTTTATTATGTATGAGCAGCATGATTTTCATCATAAAAGACTATGACTTTTATGACTATGACCTTTGTACTGTATTATCAAGTATTAATATTCGGTTTTAACAATCTAACTATCCAACTCACTAAACTCTTTCACACACACACTAAAAATAAAAACTCTGATGAGCCATCATTTTTTGCTTTATTTTTTAATATATTCACTTAATTTCATTAAGATATTTAGTTAATTGTTTTAAGGAACATTTTCCAGAGAATTTTTTTAATCACTTTTTAAATTGTACACTCTATATATATATATATAAATTAAAATCTTAATTAACTGACTGTATTATATATGTATATGTGTGTGCATGTGTGTTTGTGTACACACACACACACTTTTTCCTTTTTTACCCTTAGTGTTTTTTAGTACTGTTGCAGTGGCCTTCAGTTCAATCTGCATCACTTCACCCTGAACTTATTCATTACCCACAGTACTCTCTGTAATGATCCCATGCAGCAGGCAACAGCTAAATAACAACATTAAAAGAGCAAATCAAAGTTCACTGGCCATTTGGTGTTTTTAGACTACTGCCTCAGCACTGGCCTTGTCTTATAAAGGTCAGTATGCTGTATCATTGATCTATTTCTGTTATAAATGTGTGTATATGTACAGATCTGTCTATAGATATTTTAGTTAGATATGTCATGCCAATTTGACGATGTTTTATCATTGTCAAGGTATAAGAATATGCTTTTAAGTATTGTCAAAACATCCAGCTAGTGATCAGCAGAGCACTCTGGCCTCCTGCTAAGAGCAAAAGAGTTACTTTCCCTCCAATAGTCACCAGTTTCTCAATAATCTGTTGGCGATGCTCTGTCTGAAGGAGTGGGATGAGGCAGTCATGCCCGGTGACAGCTCTCCAGGAGGGTGTCATTAGGGCGAACGGTGTAAAGCTGAAGAGTCTGAGTGTGATGGACTTGTCAGCCCATTATGAGGCTGTAGTGAGGCTGTAGAGGAATTATTGGCTCACGAGTGGAGCGGGCTGAGGACGTGGATTGCGACGCTAGCAGCCCAAACTGTTCACGACTGAGTAACTGTCTGCAAAGTTTATAAACCAAACCTCCACTGAGAGTAGAGATGGAGCTCTGTCCGATTTTGACTTGGCCTTCGAGGTCGAGTTTAAACTTGGCTTTAATTTTGGAGTCAATATAGTACCGTCAAGATTTAGTTGTGAATATGTTGTTGTGTGATGATAATGAATCTCCTTGACGTTTAAAATTCACACAAAATGTCAAAACTATATTGCTCATAATCAAAAGTGGAGCCTACACTGGATTCAATGCAACTTAAGGTGACAGATGTCTTATTTCTATATTGAGCGCACTGCAAAACTACTTTAAAGTTACTTTATATTTCCCATCCATCTGAAATAAGATGATGTTATTGATATGTTTTTGCTATAGATTTGATTCATTATATATTTAAATACCTTCTGACCCTTCTGGACGTCTTGTGTTTTGTAAATCTAGTTTTTCATTTTATAATTATTACATTTTAGAACAGCAAAATTAATTTCTAATATTAGTATTACTGCTGTAAAACTGACCATAATGGATTGATATGATAATAAATATTGATAATAATTGGGATTAATTGACATTCTGAAGGATTGTTGAAATATTGGAGCTTAACAGTCATAAAAGAGAGTGTGTTTTTAAATACTGACCCTACAGTAAAAGCACGCTGTGTTTTATTGTTGGCATACTGTTGCTTGTGACCCAGCATGTGAAAGTCCTCTGTTTTATGGTGCTTTAAAGAACTCTCTTATACTCACCAAGGAGACTTAGTTAAACAGCTCCTTTCAACAGACGCTGTATAACAGCAACTTGAATCCAAAACAGCAGTATTGGGGAGAAAACATTCAACCTGTCAGCTTCAGATGTGTGCAGGCAGAATGAGGTCTTAAATGATTTTAAAAGGTTTTAAAGGTTCTTCAAAGGCAAGAGCTTTTGACTGACACTAAACGGGGAGGAGGTCACATTCCTCGTGTGCACATGCCCCAATGTACAGAGGTGTCTCTCACAGGGAATTATGGGTAATTTGCACTGATAGGGCAGTGAGAACAGAGAAGGATTGGGAATGTTTAGCTTTAAGAGACTTATCATGGTCAGGGAAGTGTGTCAAAAATTAAGCAAAAAATTAATAATGCCTTCAGATCAGTAGAACGATGAAAGCTTTTACGGTGTTTGTGTATTTAAACTTCTAACAGCACAACTAGGGGTTAAAATGGGCCGTAATAATCCATAATGACATTGTGACGCCTTTAAAAAGAAAATGTTAGGCGTTCCAGTCCAGTTTTTTTTTTTTTTATCAAAACATATTTGTCACCATTTAATGAGTGTAATCATTTTAAAAAAATCTTTAAAGTTTATTAAATTTAAGCATTATGCTTCCCTCTGTCATTTCCAATCATGGCTACTCAACCAAAATCAAACATCAACAAAACCAAACCTGCTTCACGTACTTCAACAAATACAGCAGATCCATCCATCAGCTCACTTCAAACATTAATAAAGTTTTCTGTCATCTCTCGCGTTTCCTTTGTATTTTCACCCTCCCCCATCGTTGTGCGTTTACCGCATTCCCACACTCTTCGAGTGTTTTTAAATGTACTCTGATGGTCCTTCACTGGTCTCCTGGGGTCGCTTTCCATGGCCGCATGAAACATTGCCAACATTTTGATTAATTGAACTACAAAACATGCAATGTTGAAAGCATTGGTATTTTTGCATGTGCATTTTTAACTCCCCTGTTCCCTGTATCCCTATACAATATTAATAAATCCATTTTGGAAATGTTTGGATTTGATTTGAGCTTCTCTTGCTTGTTCTCTCGATCCTGTCCTCTTCCTCTGCACCTCATAGGAGTTGATTCCTGAGTTCTACTACCTGCCTGAGATGTTTGTGAACAGTAATGGCTACTGTCTGGGTGACAGGGATGACGGTGTCCCTGTTTGTGATGTAGAACTACCAGCCTGGGCAAAGAAACCAGAGGACTTTGTAAGGATCAACAGGATGGTAAGTCAAACTCACTAATGGCTAATGTCTAGGCCTGAACAGAATCTGCACATACAGGATTCTGTTATTCACAAAGACACTTTGTAGACACCATAGTGGACCTTAGTGAGCCTTTCTCATCTCAGAGCCCAAGACAATAGTTGTCCTCTTCCAACCATCACTCTCTCACTTCTGTTTAGCTTTGGGAATATTGGGAAACGATTCAGACTGGGATTCTTGTTCCGATTTCTTCTTATGGTTCTTTTTCCTCAACAGTTCCATTAACAATTCTGTTGATACTTTTAAGAAATCATTTTAAAAAATGTTTATGATTTACTAAAAAGAACTCTTAAATCTTTCATTCTCACAAAGGCTGCATTTGTTTGATCAAAAAAATACAGTAATATTGTGAAATATTATTACAATTTAAAATAACTGTTATATTATATATTTAATATACTTTAAAATGTAATTTATTTCTGTGATGGTAAATCCATTACTCCAGTCTTCAGTGTCTCATGATCTTTCAGAAATCATTCTAATATGCTGATTTAGTGCTCAAGAATCATTTCTTATTATCAATGTTGAAAACAGTTGTGCTGCTTTATATTTTTGTGAAAACTGTGATACTTTTTTTTCCAGGATACTTTGATTAAAATAAAACAACATCTATTTGAAATAAAAATCTTTTTCAATATTCAAAATATCTTTACTGTCACTTTTGATCAATTTAATGCATCCTTGCTGAATAAAAATATTAATTTATTTCAAGTAAATGAGTGTGTGTAAGCAAATCTGAGTCAGAAATCTGATTCATTTTTGAATATATATGTTAAGACCTTCATGCAAATAAACTGCATATCAAAAAATTATGCATTATGCATTGATTCGTGTAGGCCTACTAATGTCATATTGCTCTGCTGACTATATCACATCAACTGATGTAATGTCTGAATCGAATCTGCAATCTTAAATTCTTAGTCCAGTATTTAATCTGTAATCCATTTCCTTCCGTCTGTTCCCTTGAGATAACACTCATTCGTTCAAATGAAACAGCATCCTGGTCCTCAGCAGGCCTCTGCGTGCTGCTTTTCCACAGTGAAGGTCGTAATGTAGTGCACTGCTCGATACTAATGTAATCTACCGCTGACCTGAATGATGTCACGGAGGACAGGCCCGGACACTGTCCCTTATAATGTTACCCTAATGCTGGCTTCATCAATCATGATTTGGCTCGCAGCAGACAGGATGTGTGTGTGTGTCCACCAATCCCTGTAGACTGTGGTGGGCTCGAAATTGTGTTCTGCCTCTTATAATGGCCCTATCTTACTCATATACTCATAAAAATTAGAGAACCGCAGGGAGACATGGGAATTGTATATGCTGCAAGATGTGTAATTTGCGTGTTTGTGCATTTAATGATTGTGTATCAACACTTCTGCCTTTTCAAACTATTAAGGATGTGTTGTGGCCCATGCTGCATGTGCTACTGATTGTGTATCACAACTTCTGCCATATCAAAGTATTAAGGGTGTGTTGAGGCCCATGCTGCCTGAGGAAAATGTGTGTGTATGTGCACTACAGGAAACACACTTGACCTTTTCAGATGCAGTGACAGTGCTGGGGTGTGTGTGTCTTGTGGAGGTGACCTTTCCTCCAGCCTCATTTTTTTTTCTTGTTTTAACACTTTCAGTTATAGAGACACACATACTCACACATGCACATGCACATATCTAAAGATCACACAAGTAGCTGTCTGTTAAAGCGAGATTTTCTTAAGAAAGGGCTTGAGGATGTCAAAACACCTCAGATATATCAAACTATTTTACATGAGCCTTGAATGGGGCAAAATGCATTCAGTTCTCACATTTTGATTTCCTCTTTCTGGTAAAACTCAGATTTTTGTGGCCCAAAATACAGCGTCTTCATAATTTTTTACAAAAGCTGGTGTAAATAAAACATAATAAGCTTCTCCAGTGTGGTCATAATTTACGTTTCTGAACCCATTTGACATTATTTCTTCTATGGAACAGAAAAATAAGTTTATTAGAAAGTCCTGGTGCCTTTTTCCATAATTCTATTCCTTTTAACAATTCCAATTCCGTTTTTAATTTACTAAAAAGAACCGAAGAATCATTCATTCTATCGTTCATTAAAAATGTCACTGGTTCTGAATAAGAATTCGGATTCATTTTAGCTAACTTTTTCATGTAAACAGTTAATGTAAATAATTCACAAGCCAAATAAATTATTCATTTCATTGCATATTAATAAATCTTCTCACATAGGGACCAGAAAATCAACATTAAAGTACCATAATATTGGTCCACTCCATACATCCGGTGTGCTATATGTCAAGTCTTCTGAAGTCATATGATAAATTGTTATGAGGAACAGATTGAAATTTAAGTCAGTATTTGCTGAAAAAATTACTTCTGTTGTAGCTCTCAAATCTTACTAGGTTGATCTCATTTGATTTCACTGACGTCAGTCATGTCTTGACATATTGACAAATCATGTTTGAATATTTATCTTGCCATATTTGCAGGACATTCTGTAAAAATATCATCCTTTGTGATCCACAGCAGAAAGAAATTTTATATTTGGGTCTCTTTAATTCATACACTGAACATGCAGAAACATCAACACAAATATCCAGTTTCAGTCAATATTAATTTCATTTTGTGGTTAGTTTTTAATGTAATGTAATGTAATTCTTTGGTCTGTTGCAATGACTAGTAGTATTTTAGGTTAGTTGAATAGCAAATACATTTTTAAACAGGCTATGACTCGATTTTGTCCTTAGATCTTGTCCTTTATTTTTCTCTCTCTGCTGCTCTTTCTCTCTGTCTCATTTAATCCCCTCTTTCTCTCCTTGTCTTTGTGCTCCCTTCCTCTCTCTCTCCATTCCCCTCCTGCCATTTCTTCCTCTCTTTCTTTCACTTAGTGTTCCCATCTTTGCATGTGTCACTTTCGATTGTAATGACATGCCCTGGGGGGAACTCAGCCCCTGCGCTCCCCGGCTTGCTCTGTTGGTAATAGCTATTATTTCTGATGTGAGTGTGAGTGTGTAAATTCCAACAGCAGTGCCCTGGGTGTGTTTGTGTGTGAGAGGGAAAAAAGTGTGTATCCCCCCCCCCCTTTGTTATCTCAGTATGACAGTTTTTGATACCTATAATAAAGCACTTCTATGCATCTTTAAGCATTAACAGCAGTATTCAGGCATGTATTGGAATAGAATTGTTTTGAAGAAACTATAGAGGAAATGCTCTGTGTGTGTAAATGTGTGTGTGTGTGTGTATACAGTATATATGTGTGTATATATATATATATATATATATATATATATCACCTACAGTGAGCATTTCTATATTTTTTTCCAAAACAATGGTTAACTAAAACTAAGCTGAAACCATAAGAAAAAAATTATTTCGTTACTTGAAATAAAATGAAGGTATAATATAAAATATATATAAATAACATACAAAAATATATAACAAAAAGTATACACTTTTTATATAAAAAAACTTATTACTATTAGCTATTACATATAAAATATAAACTTATTACTATTAACTATTAAATATGAAATAACTATTAAAAATTTATAAAAAACTATATGGACATATTCAAATAATAAAAATGACAAAAAACACAACAAAATTAATATATGAATGTAATATAAGCCTACTAATACTAATAAATACTAATAAAATAATAACTATACTAATAAATGAATATAATATACTAATATTTTGTATTCATTAAGAAATTAATCATTTTATTCAGCAAGGACACTTTAAATTGGTCAAAAGTGAGAGCAAAGACCTTTATGTCACAAAATATTTATTTTTCCAATAAATGCTGTTCTTTTGAACTTTCTCTTCATCAAAGAATCCTGAAAAATAATCATTAATTTTTCCATGAAAATATCATTCAGCAAAATTGTTTTCAACATTTATAATAACAAGAAACATTCTTTTAAATTGTAATAATACTTCACAATATTACTCTTTTTACTGTATTTTTGATCAAATAAATGCAGCCTTGGTAAGCATAAGAAACTCTTTTCAGAAACATTAGAAAAAGTACAGACACCTCACTTTTGATCAGTACTTTATTGTTATTGTATATATATTTTATTTAAATTTTTAAGTGTCCAAATACTTTTAGGGTCTCTGTGCTGTATATTGTTGGATTAGTTAAATTTCAGTGTCAAGGGGTGTGTCTATCATATTTTATTGAATGAAAAATGTTAAAAAGTTTTTTATTTACATTTCGGACTCTTATGACGATCTCAAGCTATTGCAGTCTTCTAAATCGAGAAGCATCGCCCCGAGTGTATGTTTATCTGTGCATGTGTGTTCGCATCTGTACGCCTGTGTGTGTTTGCGTTCATGTTGTGTATGTGTACCTTTCACCTCTAATTGCCCCGCTTTCTTTGACAGGCCCTGGAAAGCGAGTTTGTGTCGTGTCAGCTGCACCAGTGGATTGACCTTATTTTTGGCTACAAGCAACGTGGGCCCGAGGCGGCACGCGACCTCAACGTCTTTCACTACCTGAGCTACGAGGGCTCCGTCAACCTCGACAGCCTCGCCAGTGATCCCCCATTGTACGAGGTAGGTCGCCGTGGAGACGTTGCCATGACAACGGCAACAGGCTTTCGGTGGCTAACATCTTTTTCTTTTTCATTTTTGTAATTGGACTGTGTCAGTAGAAGGTAAAATGCTTTATAAATGTCACCACTAGATGGACTACTGTCTATGCTAACATTATATAGCTAAATAGTGTGGGATGTTTTTAAATTGATATATTTGCAGTTAACTTTTCTTTTAAGGTACAACAGGTTTAAAAACTATGGCGTAAGATTGGCAATATCAGCATTCATTAACCGCCTTTCAAGCATGAATGAACCCAGTTTCAGTTGAATATCTGACTGTCAGTATGTGTCATTCAGATCTTGCCATGCAAATATGTCCTCTGGGAAAGAGAAACTCAAACTGATTACTCATGTGCTTTGGATCTTCTGCCCTGAATAGTAACCGTAAAACTTTAGGTACAAATAAGTACTTTACTTAAAGATACATTTGATAATGTCTGTGCCAATATAAGGCATCAGACAGATTTGCAATGAAATTTTCAATGTAAATGTACAATGTAAATGGTTTTTGCCCATGTAAAGTCACCACCACATGCCAAAATGTTGTGGGTGATTGCCAGTGTGTTGCTATGTGGTTGCTAGGGTGTTCTCTGTGGTTTCTAGCTGGTTGCTTCCTGTCAAAAGCTCCCCCTACGTCTTTAAAATATAAATCTTTGGATTTTTTTTTTCCAGTTTGTTTTATCATCCACTGGGAAAAAATGTGCAAATCTGATCATATAGAGAAATAGTAGTACTCTTACCCACAATAAACCACATGATATATCATTAATGTCCATAGTATAAATGGTGCACAAACAAGCATTATTTTAGTACGTGTAAAGTACTTGTATTTACACAGTAAAAAAAAGTTGTAAATAAAACCGAGATTATTGGAGTATATTTTACAAGAAAATACGATTTCAGTTTTTCTATTTCAAAATGCCATGTTTAATTTAATGTTACTCATCATTTTTTGTAACTGTTTGTGAAATTTACTGGCAAATTCTGAGTGAAAATTGTTTCTACAGCTCTTTTTTTGCATGCAATTATAATATATAAATATTTTGAATCAGCTATTTTTTGCAGATTTACCTTTAAATTTTTGTAATTGTTATGTGCTGTTGTCATTTGTATTATTATTATTAATATAATTATTAGTATTATTTCAAATATTTTTATTTTGGTTTTAGTTTTATTAATTTTAGTGCTTTAACGTAACCTTATTTTAGTTAGCTGCCAAGGCAACAAGTTTAAGTTTTTCTTATAATATTTATATTTTCTTGTAGCTTTATTTCAATTAGCAAAAACAATGTTTAAGTTTAGTTTTAGTTTTAAGGATTCTAATTTAACAACACTATATTTGACATGAAATAGTATTATTTATTTATATTCTGGTTACCTACTAAAATTGAATTCATCAAGCAATTACGATGTAAATCAATGTTATTGATTTTCCACACAATACTCTTTATTGACTGGTGGAAGTTTTGAAAATGACTTAATTGTGTTTGTGGATATGACTCCAATTCAACAGCAGCAGCTGGTAGGCAGTGTGTTTGTAGCCGTATGTACCCCATTCCTCCCTCCCTCCCTTCCTTTTCTCGCTCCTATTCTCTCTATCTCTCCCGCTCCCTGTGATACCCACCATCTGCTGTCTGCAAAACAAGTCATTTATATACTGTCACTTCCAGGACTGCCTTTATTTGTCAAGTGACCACTATGCAAATCACTCACGGAACAGGGGGGCTAATTATCAAACAATATGGAGAAAGCTTTGCTTTTCATCATTCGGCTCTACATTCCAGACAATAGCAATTATGTTTCTTTCATGTGGCCGAGTACTTCACAAGCAGTCCAGCACTCTGAGAGCAATGGTAGCTTGACAGCAAAGCATGTGAGCCTAGGAAGAGCCAGAAAACCTGCTTTTATATGTCAGTTCTGGAGTTTGAGAAGCCTTTATGTTCCATTCAGTATATTAATAAAGTCTATATTGCTTTTTATGTCGTCCAAGCACCTGGCAACTGGCATTCAGACACTTAAATGCTGAGGAGAGCTGACCTCAACTTGACTTGTTAAATGCATGAAGGAATTCATGAGTTTTTGCTCTATTTGTCCAACTAGTTAACCAATGCCCCTTGAGCTCAAAACATTAAAGTAATAACCTCACAGACAAAATATACTGACCTCAAGTAGGCTAAATTCCCTTCCGTTTCTAAGGTCTCTCGGTCTCAACCGGAGAGGGAGGACAGCTCAGAAATGTGACCGTCACCTTCAGGCTATTGATTCATTCTCCACTGACAGGTGCATCCACAGCTCTGACATTAAGCACTGCGATTACGGCCTTAAAATGTCAAACTCTGGAGTTAAGGGTCATAACTCGTTCCAGAGTCAAATCAAAATGGCAGCAGTTGATGATAGAGTCACAGGACTCTATTGGCAGGCTTATGTCACAGGAAAAACAGCATTTACGGATGAAGAACATGCCAGCAATCTTTTGATACACATTTTTATTGCATGCAACCATAATACACAGTCTGAGAGCACTGCTTGTGAATTATTATCCGTCACTAATGAGAATTTTAATTATGCATTCACAAATGAGTAGAGCATGTCAGTGTAAGAAAAGATAAGAGTAAGGTGCATTTGTTTTTTTCAGTTTCCTGTGTTTAAAATAACAGATATAAACTCCCCTTTTCCAAGTCTGAATTATTATACTTATTATATTATACTTCATTATTATTATTATATTTTAGTACTTTTTGGAGTCTAGTTTGATATTTATTATTATTATTATTATTATTATTAATAAATTTTTTTTAGTTTACATTGATTTTTTTATTATAATGTAATTTATTATTATTTTAGTTTTTGGAGTCTATTGTTGTTGTTGTTGTTGTTGTTGTTGTTGTTATCGTATTATTTATTATATTTTAGCACTTTATTGGAGTCTGTTGATATTTATTTTATTATGATTATTATTTTACTTATTATTATTTTTATTGTTATTTATTTAATTTATTTCGTCTACATTTTGTATTTTATTTTTATTGTATTTTAGTGCTTTTTTGAATTCTATGTTAATATTTAATAATAATAATAATTTTTTTTTTATTATATATTTTTTCTTAAGTCTACATTGACTTTTATTTTTTAATTGGATACCAAATGATTAATTCAGATGTCTGAACATTTTAAAGAGAATGACTTGGTGTCAAATATGGTGTGAATAGTTTTGTGGTGAAAACTTGTGAAATGATGTTTTAGCCTCATAAGCCTTGATGTCAACATGTCTTAAGGCACTCTATTCCACACAGGCCTACATGAACATATAAAAGGCCTACCTTTTAGATTTAGATATGTTTTTTTATCTTCTTTTTTTTTTCTCTACATCCCATCACTAAACTCACACCCTTAAAAATCCTTATGGTTCTCTAAAAGCCTGAGATGAACATCAGAGCTTTGACATACTTGCACATCCTGACCCAAAGATGTGATTGACATGCCACAGGTTATGATGGATGTTTTATGTCCATCTCAGCGTGATGGCTTATAGCTCTGGTGGAAACGATCAGCGTACAGCTCATGCAAGAGGTGTTTCTTATCAGCCGTAAAGAGCAGGGGCTTAAAGTGGATTATAGTAATGAACTGCCAGTTAAGAGTTACAGATTTCTGTTGGTGATAAAGTGTGTTTTTCTCCAGAGCTCAGATGAGCAACCAGTTGACACTGTGGGTCTGTTGACAACACTGAGATGATTTAAAGGATGCGCCCCTCATATAACCCTATCCCCTTTGACTCTAGACATAATCTGTCAGAATTGGATGTATAACAAGGTACAGTTGCTATAAATGCAGGATGTTTTTTCTGGACATTACATTCTGGATGTTGAAGTGCTGATCTAAATGTTAGTAAGGGTCAGTAAGATTAAACAAAATTATACTTCCATTAATTTTAACAATACTTGTATCTCAGTTGCATCAAATGTATCATAGTTTCCATAAAAATATTAAGCAGTACAACTAGTTTCAACATTTATAGCAATGCAAAATTATTTTTGAGCACCAAATCAACATACTAGAATGATTTCTGAAGGATCATGTGGTACTGAAGACTGGAGTAATGATGCTGAAAATTCAGGTTTGACATAACAGGAATAAATTACATATATGTAGAAAACAGTTATTTTAAATCGAAATAATATTTCACAATATTACTGTTTTAACTGTATTTTTAATCAACTAAATGCAGCCTTGAAGATCATTAGAGACTTCCTTCCAAAATATTAAACAATCGAACTGAGCCCAAACTTTTGACCGGTAGTGTATATATATATTGTTTTTGATATGGACCATTTATATTCATATTTCTGGACTTTTAGAAGGAATTCTTCTCTCGTTTTTTCTTCACTGTTGGAAGGCAGAAATATAGTGATACTTTCCACATGGCTGCCTGTTTCTCTCAGATCTTCAGATCAGATTACATTATTTGAGCAGACATTGTGACCCCTGTTCCTGACTCTAACCTAAAATAACTATAATGTGAGCGCATTATTATTTGACAGACAGCATCGTAAAGCAGAAAACATTTCAAAAAAACATTTAATTGTTACCAAATGTGATTGCACTGAGTCGTGAGAGCTCTGCTTGTGTCGAATTTTGCCACCAGGGTCAGGCCAAGATGATCATTTAAGTTTGATGATCTGTTCTTATTTGAAGTACTTCAGCAAGAACTAGTCTCCTCCGTTCCTCTCATTTCAGTTGCACAATTGATTATAATTCTGCAGTTTCGCTGCTTCCAAAGTGCTATGAAGTCAAAGTGAAACATCATTTGCACACCATTTTAATTCTGTAAGTGAAATAGGAGATTATTGAGAACGAATTTAGAATAATGTCAATTAAGAAAGTACATTTTTGATTTTGTGTTAACTTTAAAGTGAATATCTCTGGAAAACAAGTATTTTTCTTTAAAAAAAAAAAAAGACCTGTTAAGAAGGTTAGAAGTCATGTGATATTACACATTTCTTTAAACTGTAATCTATGTAAACATGTTGTGAATGAAACATTGACATTTTTGAATTTAGTGTTTACAATTCAGAATGGTTCCAATTCTAAACTTGTACACTACTATATTTGTGTGTGTGTATGTGTGTGTGTGTGTGTGTGTGTGTGTGTGTGTGTGTGTGTGTGTGTGTGTGTGTGTGTGTGTGTGTGTGTGTGTGTGTGTGTGTGTGTGTGTGTGTGTGTGTGTGTGTGTGTGTGTGTGTGTGTGTGTGTGTGTGTGTGTGTGTGTGTGTGAAATAAAATAAAACAAATCTTGTTTTCCCTTTGAATTAAGTTTACTTTTCTTACTTCATGGCAGATATTTTTTCTTGTTTTTAACATAAACTCACTTAATTTTTATAAATTTTTCAGACATGACGTAATATCTTAAGTCTTTTTGCATTCTTAAGTTAAGTGTATCTTGATTAAAGCATGTTTAGATATTTTTACTGGAAAACATACTAAGTAGGAAAAAATAATTTCTGTGTAGGTCATGTGACAAGTTTAACATGCATATCTGCACG